TTTTTTTTTTTTTTTTTTTTTTTTTTACAAGCAATGCAAAACTAATACGTTTTAGCACATTAGTACTGACATTCAGCACAATGGTACTGACATATTTTTTCAAATATATTTCAAGGGACTTCACTGCAAACAAATTTTTGTCATGAGCTCATGGTCTAATGCAGGGGTTTCAAACATACAGCCTGGACCTGGCCTATGTAGCCACTTCATCTGGCCTGCTTGTTACTGGCAGACTAGGGAAATTGGGGGCATGGCTAAGGGAACTAAGGCCTGCTGTAGAAGATGATGCTCTAAAACCCCATTGGACATGGCTGTTGGTAGCAGGCAGGCAAGTAAGGGCTGTCCCAACATAGCACAGCTGCCATCACTCCTTGGACTGCCTTTGCCACTGACTTCACACCACCACTTGCCCCACAGTTCAGGTCTGGCCCAAGACATAGGACAAGATGGGTCCCAGGATCGAAGGGCATGAGCAGGTACAACAAAATTAGCAGATGGTCAACTACTGATCAAAACTTCATCTCTGGTAGAAAGAGGTAGATCATCTCTGGCTGAAATATGGCAAGTGAGATAAAGTTGCATGGAGGTGAGGAAGGCAGGATGCAAAAGGTGACTAGAAAGAGACAAAGACTGATCAGGAATGAATCCTGTATAGAGCATAAGAAACAGATGGTGGGACAGGGGAAAAGCAGAGACAGGAACAAGGCCCAAGTTTGGAGTGCCTTTAGGAGAGAAAAGGCTTTAACCTAGAAAGAAGGAAAGCAAAATAACTTTAAATTTAATACTTTTCTACTCACTGACAAGTTAAGCATTTGCAGGCCAGACAGACACAGCTTTATGTTATCATGATAAAGGTTTTCCCTATTGTTTCATATGCAAAGCAGGATGTTTGCCACCTGTGCTGAGGCTGCACCAGGCATGCAGTTTAGGTTTCATTAGTACTGTTACTTTACAACTTGCATGGGTTCATTGAAATTGAGGCTTTACACAATAGCATCCTGCTTACCCCTACCTTTCTTACTCTTAGGGGCTCCTCTCCTAAGTTCCTCACTGATCTTTTTTCTTACAAAGATGCCAGTTTGTAAACACCCACTTTTACTGTGAATGACCTTGTCTTCTTCCTTAACACATACCACTTGTGCTATGCCTTTTACTCTCTAAGCCCCCGTTGTACTCCACCCACAAAACAACTGTTGGGCCCCATGTTCTGCCTATGAAAATCAGGGGGGCAGCCGCCCTGAATTCAGCATGTCCCTAATTATGCAACCCTACAATTTAGATGACAAAACTGCTCCAAGGACAGTTCAGTATGTGTCTTTAATCTGTTGTTTTCTGTAAAGTCTGCCTCTGAAAGCTCATGTTCATGTAATGCAGGGGTGTCCAACCTTTTTTAATGTGTGGAGCCAGATCATGAACCTTTTATCACCCAGTGGGCCGGCGAGCCATATTCGTATTTTATCACCCTGCAGGCCGTACATTAGACAAGCCTGAAATAAGGCAAATCTGGCATAAAACCCCACCTGTGCTCAGCTAGTGACAAACTACAGCAAATGATGTCCTGGATCAGCCATCCCAACAGCTGGGGACCCCCTTCTGCCTACTACGACCACCATTTGAAGGCAACCCCAGAAGATATTTGACAGCTGTGTTAAAATATATGACCAAACTGATGTAGCCGGTGCTCTCATGCAGGCCAAGGGGCTGCCTATGCCACTGCTTCCCCAGGCCTTACCCACACCAGCAACACTGCTGCCCAAAGTCTTGGCAGCACTCGGGCAGACGCGGCTGAGGCCCAGCCAACACGCGAGACATGGGACGGCGGAACTGAGGGAGCGAAGCTGGTTCCCAGCCAGAAGAGTCTCAGGCCTGGTCTGCCCAGGGCAGCTCCTGGCAGGGGAAGGCCTTGGGGGAACATGGGCCGCTCTGCTCCTCTGTGCTTCCTTGTGGCGAAGGCAAACAGCCTCCAGAAGGGCACAGGCAGCCGCCATGGCAGGAGAGCAGCACCCGGCCCAGCCACAGGAAGCAACAATCCCCCCTCTCCCCCCGGGCTGCCCCCAAGCAGTGCAGCCCCATGAGCCGGCGCTGCCCAAGGGGGGCTGGAGCAAGGCAGCCACTGCACTGCAGCCCCTCACCCACTTGCCCGCATGGCCCTGTTCACCATGGTGCCCAGCCGCCCGCACACACAGCCCTGGTGGCCTCAGCGCTGCAAGCCCAGAGCATGGGACCCAGCGGACACCGGCTCCCACCACCTCACCCCACAGAGGTCATGACAGGAGGCCGAGGCCCTCCCGGGGCTGCCCTGTGACTGCCTGTGCTGGGTGCTGTGCCCCGTTCCTGTCCCGCGGCCGCTGAGCCTGGCAGGTCCCAGGAGGTGGGCGGGCCCCTGGGGGCAAGGGGCTGAACCTGAGACAAGTAAAAGCGGGCGCTGTCCCCAGCTTGTCCCATCAGGCGTGGCCAGGGCAGCCCCATGCCGCACAGCCCTCGGGGCGGTGGCAGGACCCAGCTCATGTGACGTGGGAGGTCATGCGAGTCTGGCCCCGCGGGGGTGAGCAGCTCTCCTCCCCTCCCTCACCCGCCTGTCCTGAGCAAGGGGCCTCGGGCCTCAATGCGGCCCGCGGGCGGTATGTTGGACAAGCCTGGTGTAATGTAACCAGCAACTGAAGGCTTAAAGAAGAAACACCCAGGAGTTCTACAGTACATAATACCACCTACTGCAAAGAGGTGACACAAATGCTAGTTTGTCCACCTTCAGCTCATGTTACGCAATGTAGCACAATGTCCAACTTTTGCCTAAGAACTTTCAGGTCGTCTTTATCGGTATCAAAAAAGAAAAAAAAACCAACCCATTTTTAAAAGACACTTTGCAGGTAATCTTCAAAAGAACCTTTTATAATTGTAATTTCAGTCCATAATCAGTCCTCCCAAAGGACTGACAAACATTATGTGTTACAAAAACCTCCAAGCTTTTTCATCGTTAATTATTGGCTTTTGGAGATTATTAGAGATAGCCTTTTAATCTTTAAAACGGCAAATTCCTCCACCAGTAGTAACAAACTCACATGCTCAACGTTATTTCCATGATGCTGTAATGTGAAATTTGTTCAAGGCAAATCAGACATCCCAAGTCCTTGTATAACTTAATGTATCTCTATATTGTGTCTGACTATTAATAGGATCTTATCAAAATTCTATTATTAAGAAAACATTTTTTAATTTTATTTATTATCCTTTATACAGTTTAAAGCAGGGGTGTCCAACCTTTTTGAATGTGGGGCCAGATCACGAAATTTTTATCACCCAGTTGGCCAGCAAGCCATATTCAAAGACCTCACAGGAAGTGGTATCACATCAGGAAGTGATGTCACATGACCTTTGACACCAATGAAGTTGCAGGAAGTGACAATGAAATGGGTCTGGAAATGTGCCTAGGGAAGTTGTGGTTTTCAGAAAGTATGTATGTTTGGTATGACTTAGGAACAGGACATAATTTTTATGTGCAGGGGGTTGGACTAGATTAGGGATGCCTAGCTGACTACCTGCAGGCCACATGTGGCTCACAAAGGGCCAGGATGTCACCCACAGTCTACATGGGGTCGGCAAGCAGTTAATATATAGGGCATGGGCCTGGGCAGCCACCTCTCCCACTGCTGTGCAAGGAAGAAAGGCCTGAGTGGGGGGAGAAGTGGTCCATGTCCTGCTAATGTAGCCTGCATGGCTGAGGATGGAGGTCTGCATGCTGCTGGAGCAGCCTGTGCTGTGAGTAGAATTGTGAGTGTACAATTTCTATTTAATTAACTACAATGACCATGTTACTTCCTGTTACTGATTAACTGCTTTCTTCTAAAATTAAGACCACACTAAAGTTAAATACCTGCATATAACAAAAAGGGACGTCCTTGATTTAGCAAAACATCCTTGTTTTCAAGGATGAATGCAGCTGGAGCCATAAGGGAAAGTTTGTGCTGTCCATTTCTGCCAACATAAAGTGGGTGCAAGTGTCCTTTACTAACTTGATCATGGTCATTGTGGTTAATTAACTAGAAATTGTAGGCATATACTGCAGAGAGGTGGAAGAGATCTCAAGGATAAGCTAGACCAGGGCTGTTCAGATCTGGTGAGGCTGTGGGCCCCAGATGACACCAGCATGTGTTGCACAGGCTGCACGCTGTGGGGGTAGGCCCCTAGGACCCCCTCACAGCACAGGCTGCTCCAGCAGTATGCAGACCCTCATCCTCAGTTATGCAGGCTACAGTAACAGGATCTGAACTGTCAAGGAGGTGGCTGGATGTAGAGTGCTTCTGGGCTGGGCTCCTCCTGCCTCCCGCCTAGCCCGGCTCCAGCAGCCGCGTGCTCTGCAGCCCCAGCCCGGCCCTGAGGCGCCCCCAGCTCTGTGCGGGAACTTACCTGGTGCCTCCATCCACCGCGCATGTGGGCAGGGCACGGGCCATGCTGCAGCTCCCCCGGCCATGTGCCAGGGGCAAGGGGCGGAGCCAGAGGAGAAGTTGCAGGTGCTGTCCCCAGTTCGTCCAGTCAGGCGCGGCTGGGGCAGCCCTGTGCTGTGCAGCCCTCAGGGCAGTGGCAACGGGACCCGGCTCACGTGATGAGCTCAGCCCTGCGGGGGTAGGCAGCTCCCCTCCCCTCGCTGCCAGCTGGGGCCCGCAGGCCAGCCCTGCCCGCCTCGCCTCACTGCTGCCCCACTGCTGCCACCATGGAGCGCGGAGCAGGCACCAGGACTCCTCGCCTGTCCCAAGCAAGGGACCTCGGGCCAGATAAAATTGCTTGGTGGGCCGCATGGCGGCCCACGGGCCATATGTTGGACAAGCCTGGTTTAAAGCAAATTTCCCTTGGAGTGGTCTTTAACAGTTTCTTACACATTATTTGGTCTTGAAAATCTCATCCCTCCTCTGGACCTAAAATAGTTGCCTTTTTCACAGCTTAAGAAAATGCCATGGGACACTTTTCCAGAGCCTATACTCAGGGCCTCAGAGTCTTAACAGTAGGAAGCAACAGAATCCAGAGCTCACGCAAGGAAAAGTGTAACACAGATGAGATTCACAGTGAAAAGAATAAATTAATTTTCTCCTTAATTACTTGATTCTGCAACCCACACCCACATGACACATCAATCTTAATGGGAATTTGTACAGAAATACTGCTGGACAACACATGTATTTGGGATTTGTGCATCAAGATTCAAAAGTTCTACATTCAAACATTTTGTCAGGCCCAGTAGATATAAGAAAGTCTTCTCTGCATGTTTCCCATCGAGCTATGACTCATCTTATTATACTTGTCCAAATTTTGACCATTAGTGACAGCATTTTTTCTTATAATTCTTGGGTAGAGAAATTCCTATTGTCACTCATAACAGCTGATTTCTGTCAGCCTTTACAACCCTGTAAACAATTGTTTGGCTGAATTTTATTGATTCAACCAAACTTAGTTATTTTATCACGCTTCATTGTATAAGGGCCTGCAATTCTTCTCTGGTTTTAGTTTGTATTGCACCATCCCACTCAACTTCAAGATAAGCGTTTCTTTCCAATTACTTACTTTAGTGATAGTCTTCAAAATGGCAAATCGATCTGCAGGAGGTGGCAAACCCACGTAGAGTGTTTTATCCAGTCTGCCAGGTCGCAAGATTGCTGGATCAATTATATCTGACATGAGAAAGAGAAAACAGTTTATGTATTAGATGCAATATTAGCCAACATTTGAAGCTCTGAGTTACTAAAAAATTTTTGTTTCCATCAGATCTCCTCACTGCCTGCCTCACTCACAAGCCTGGTATGCCACAAGACTTGCCCTGAACTGCCAGCTTACAGACGCAGACAAATCTTTCTTAACAGCAAGTATTCAATGAACATTCATCTATCACACTTAATATGGCTGAGCAAGAAATTCCATGCAAATTCACAGCATGAAGAATATTTTAATTTGCTCTACTGGAGAAGGGGAGGCGACAGGCAGGAGAGTTCTCTAAATCAAGTATTGTGACAATGTCTAAAAAATCTATATAAAAGATGCATCTGAGCGAAGTGTAGCTATCTACATAGAAAAGGTTTTTTTATAAGAAGTTTAATTTTTATTGAATTAACTGTAGTAGCGTAGCCTTCCTTCTTGATAATTCTCTCAGTTAAAACACAAACACACAAACTTTTTTTCAGAGTGTTAATTAGCTGTGGAGCAGAAGTGTACACATGGGCAGTTACTGCAGACAAGTGGTCATATTCTAAGTCTCCACTCCATTTTATTTCACAGTAGTATATCCATGTGTCCTTGTCCCATGACAGAGAAAGTTGTATATCCATACATTTGAAAAATAAATGCTTGGTCCTCTGCAAATATATACCATTCACTTCTTACCTGAAGACGACTGAGAAACAAAAATTTTTAAAAAAAACTGCTGTATTCTTCTTTTTCCTTTTAGAAGTGCCAACAACAAACCAGGTCCTCCCCCCGAGATACAGTAGCTGTGCATCCAGCAGACAAACTATTCAAGATTTCCCAAACAAGCTAACGGTTTTTAAATTGAGGGGGCAGAGAAAATTCCTACCAGCTATTGTTACTGGTCAAAAGTTCAGGAAAATTATCTCCACTACTCAATAAATAGCTCTCACACTTTTTTTAAGACACAAACATATTTCAGTTAATGTCTTTGGCCACATACAGATATTCCATTTGTGCCAAGAGAAAGAGCAAACCCTGTCTCCCAGCACAAACAAGGATTCAAGGGATTTCTTGCAGATTACTGGCTCTTTCACAATAAGTTAGATTGGGTAACTCAAAAGAAAATTTCCCTCTTCCCAAGCCAAACTGAAAGTCTATATACACTTCTCTCAGGTAAGGAGGACACCTAATATCCCAAAGTCCTTTGCTCTGACTCCCTCCTAGAGGGGGAGGGAAGGAAAGCACTGGCTCATTGATAGCCTGCCCAGAGGCAAGCTGTCAGGGAGCCCTATGGGGGGACCTTTCCATAAAAAATTATCCCCCCCTCCCCCATCAGTCAGCTGATTGGTGGCAGAAGGGAATTCACCTGCAATGGAAAACCTCTAAGAAGTAGTTCCCCCAGCAAGAGAATGCCCCCCTCCGGCCAGTCTTCTGCCACATTGACAGCAAGGCTCTTCTGCCAATCAGCTGATTAGTGTGCATGTGGGGGACCAGGGGGGTGTAGAGGGCATTCTCTGGGCTGCCTGTGGCAGCTGCTGTCAATTAAGCTAAAGAACAGTATTGACATAAGAACAAAGTGGATACAAACGTATTTAGTCTGGAAATTTAAAAATATTCTTATAGACCTGCGAGGTTCTAGAGCTAAAACCGGTCTTGTTGTCAAACTTGTTTCATAGTTGGTAGGGTTGGAAGGGACCTGAGCAGATCATCAAGTCCGACCCCTGCCATGGCAGGAAAGAGTACTGGGGTCAAACGACCCAGGCAAAGTGTTCATCCAGCCTCCTCTTAAAGACCCCCAAGGTAGGAGCCAGCACCACTTCGCTTGGAAGTTGGTTCCAGATCCTAGCTGCCCTGACCGTGAAGTAGCGCCTCCTGATGTCTAGTCTGAATCTACCCTCTGCCAGCTCGTGACCGTTATTCCTGGTCACTCCTGGTAGTGCTCAGGGGAACAGGGACTCCCCCAGTGCCTGCTGGTCCCTCCCGACC